GTTCAGCACCCTTTGTTACATACAGTATTTTAGGCATCTACTTTGACTTGTTTTAAAATAATAAAGTCAAAAATATTTCCTTTACAGATTTGCAATGATGACATTTTGTACAGTTTGTTTACTTTCTGATTCAACTGCTTGACGTTTGAACTGTGTTTGGTGAATGTAAAAACAGTTTCCATGAGCTTTTAGCCAAGATTCTTTGGTTTCTATTGATATCAAACATGTCCAGGTTCACCTGACAGATCTGAAGTTAAAAGAAATAGAAAATGGAAAAAGCTGTTTTGCTCCAGAGGTTAAACACTGGATTCGTATCCAATTTGGTACCGCAAACAATAGTGACCTGGGTCTTATTTGAAGAAAAAAAATGTATTTGTAACATCCAGACAGTTAGAAAAATAAAATAAAATCAGACATGAGTCACATATGGACAAATTAATCTAATTTAGACCACATTTGCCTGCATCGTGAACCTTGGACAAGTGCAATCTAGCTTTATCTTTGCACATAGTGTGTTTTATTTTAACTGAAGTGGCAGTGGGGAGAAAATAACACTCACCATTATGTGGTCCACTGGCACAGAACTTCTTCTGAGAAATCTTCAGTATGCGGTCATCACCTTGCTACAAATAATAGTACAGTTAAAAGAGAAGCATCTAGAAAGAAAAAAAAATCACAAAGCATCTAATAGAGCAACATTCAAGCAAGCTGCTTGTGTAGAATTTTATGTCTCCTGGGCAGTTCAGTTGGTTAATTCTTTCTAAAACACCAACACTGGACGTCCAAAATGATTGGTTTTGCTTTTATTTATTCATCTAGTAACTGTGGTTCTCTTTCACAGCATTAATTTCTTGTCTCACTATGGGAGAACTCTGCCTGCGTGATCTCGTCAGAAGCTTAAATTTCATTACACCAACCCTGAATGGCTGGCACCAATGACGTCTGTGTCAGGAGAAGCGCAGACCCTTCCTATATTAAAACAGCTGACACAGCATCAGTCATCTAAAAACCTCTTTTCTCTTGTCACAGATGCCTGTAGACAACTGTACCACTGGGTGCAAAGCTAAACTGTCCATCGACCGGGTGCAAAACTCTATCACCTTGTTCCCAGCCATACAGCCGTCCACTACACTGTGAAAACTAACAATACTTCTACACTTTAGCAAGTAGAAATACTTGGTAAACAAAACAGAACTTGACACCAACCGTTGCTGATGTCCCGTCGCCATTCAGTAGTGACCAACTGTTAGCAGTTTTGTTGGAATCATCACAGGCCTTCATTGTTTAAATCATCTCATAAGGTGAACAGACTGATAGGGGGCTAAAGCGATCCTGTCAAACTACTACACAAACGTGTTGAACAGGTTTCCCTTATGACGAACACAATATTTGGTTCAAATTAGAGCATGTAGTATGTGTGATACTGTATAGTGCCAACCGTATGTCAATGTTGAGATGTCTAATTAGGCCACGTCCCCCCAAAACTGGACTGCATTCCTGTACTGGGGTGGATTAGGATTGACCATAATGAATTACGTTCAGATTGGCTGAAATATGTGGAATTTAGAGCCTAACGTATGTCAACGGTGTGACGTCTGACTTCGTCGCACGGCCATGACCACGCRTTTCACTACAGAGTCTTTGTGCTTAAAAGCAAGTGAGATCAAGTTCTTATCTGTGTTCTGACACAGTTTGTTGCCGATTAGGTCAAGGAGGTCAGAGATGGAGCTTCCAAGCCAAAAAAGGTCACTTCTTGTTATTCGGCAGGGTTCATGCAGGTTTCAGTGAGTTAAATTTAAGACCTTTTAAAGACCTTTTAAGACCATTAGTAATGACATTTAAGACCAAATTGACGCATTAACAGACACATTCAAATGGTTGCACAAATTTTATAATAGAAACCTTTTATTGCTATCAATTTAAATTTTTTAAGAATATTTAATTTTAATACAAGAACACTAAATTATTTGAATGAAATGGTCATATCTGACTGGTGTGAACTGCTTTCAACCAAGTGAAAAAAATCACTGATATCAAGTCAAGTCTCATTGAAAACACACTTTCCTATGTTTAAACAACAAGCAGTGGACATGACTGAACTTCTGTTTGAGCAGGTAAATAAGTCACTGTATGTGTGGGCTGTAGCAGCTAAGAGGTCAAAAACATGAAAGTAAACTGTGCCATTTTTGCCTGCAGTTATCATGGGATTTGTAGTTTAATCATGACCAGTAACAAACTTAGCACTTCATGAAGACAGATCGTGTCAACCTCTGATTATGACTCTTAACTTTATTTATTTATGCAGCCAACAATTCTCAGGAATGATCAAAAGTAGAAAAAATTAAGACTTGACAAAATTAAATTTAAGACCTTGGGGGAAAATCTGGGCATTTTAAAGACTTTTTTAGGCCTAAATTTTTGATTTTCAAATGTTAGACGTTTTTAGACTTTTTAAGACCTGGCATGAACCCTGGGTCGGGCATGCAACATGGATGACTCATACCAAGTTTGGTGTATTTTAGCGTTTCTATGTGAAAGTTACAGCTGTCTGAAATTGTAACAGACAGATGCAGAGCATTTCTACCAAGAATAGCAATACCATATAGCAGTGATTTCCAACCAGAGGTACGTGTACCCCTTGGGGTATGCGAGCATATTACAGGGGGTACGTGGAAAAATTTCCCAGGTGTGTAAAAAGATTTTTTTAAATAGGACTGAGACATGTAGAGCCCTATGATTTCCACAATGTGGAAAATGCGGAATCATGAAATTAACACAAAATGAAATTCAGTATAAAACGCGGAATCTCGTAGAATTTGCTCATTTGGGGTATTTGATGTATTTTGGACGCTGCTGCTTCGTTCACCTGCCATTGCCTGTTTTATTTATTTAATTACTTATTCACTTTCAAGGCAATGTTTTTATCTTTGTTTAATTTGTGTCAAGTTGAAAACAATAATATTCCTGAGAATTAAACATTCTAGGGCAGGGCTACTCAACTGGTGGCCCACGGACCACATCAGCCTGCAAGTGACCAAAATGTGGCCCGCCAATTGGTTCATTCATCTCTTAAGCCCAGACCCCAAGATTTATACTTTAATTTACTTCAAGTTCTTTTAGGTAAACACAGACATGTTTGGTATCTACAGAAACATCAGAATCTTGGCTACAAGCTGGTAAAAGCATTTCTATGAATATTTAAGACAGTTAAAACTACAAGCAGTTGAAGATTAAACTATGAAAGTGAAAATAAAATTGATTTAAAAAGTTGGCAAGTCAGAGATGTCAAAATATTATTTGTGTTAAACAGGAGGCAGAATGTGTTATTTTTGTTTTTGACATTGTTTTACTATCACTACATTTATTACATAGGGTTCTGTATGTTTTATTCATGATTAAATGCAGTAAAATAAACTATTTCAAAGGTAACAGATCTTTGTAATACTTGGTTTATTTAAATAATGACTTTAATTGCTAAATGTTTGGCCCCTGAGCTGTAGACCTGCAGTAACTGTGGCCCCCGGAGCAATTTCGTTGAATAGCCCTGTTCTAGGGGGTTAAATAAATAATTTCCATTTAATAGTCAGTTGTAGTTCATTATAGTTTTGGAAAATCATCATTACATTTGACAGAGGGGGTACTAGTAGTATGACAAAATGGCTCAGGGGGTACACAAGTCTAAAAAGGTTGGGAACCACTGCCATATAGCACAGGTTAGTGAGGAAATAGCAATATTTCCCCCCCTCCTTGCTCTTACAAATTTAGCTGCACAAGCTTCTTGAGAGAGAGCCCAGAGGGTGCTAACACCAACGCTTTGAAGAGTTAGTTAACCATGGTTACCGAGGTCAACATTGATGTGATCGAGGAAGGCCCCAAACTCTGCTGCTGCAGTGGTTAAATTTCCTTATGGGACACTCACTCCATATGTGCTGCTTTCCTAGGTGGCTGTGACAGAGTGGTTAAGGGAATCGTCCTCTAAGCAGAGAGTTGGTGGCTGATTCCCCACTATTCTGTCACATGTCGAAGTGTCTCTGGGTGGGACACTGAACCCCCTCTGCCTCTGATGTGTGTCCCATCAGTGTATGAATGTGATTTAAAGCACAAATTAGTCTCTACAGATTGATTACTGTATTAGCTTTGTAGATACCTAATAAAGTGCTGTGTGAATGGGTAAAAGAGGGCACAGATTGTAGTGTAAAGAGCTCTGAGTATACTGGTTGGACAGAAAGGTGCTATAAGTACAGTCCATTTACTATTACCATTACCTGGGAGTAGCCCATACCTCAGGTAACGTTAACCTCCACTAAAACGACTGTATCCACTAAAGAAGACTGTATCCACAAAACCCCCCGACTGTATCCACTAAAACGACTGTATCCACTAAAAAAACTGTATCCACTAAAACGACTGTATCCACTAAAACGATTGTATCCACTAAAACAGACTGTATTCACTAAAACGACTGTATCCACAAAAAACCCCGACTGTATCCACTAAAAAAAACTACTGTAACCACTAAAACAACTGTAACCACTAAAACTACTGTAACCATTAAAACGACTATATCCACTAAAAAAACAACTGTATCCACTAAAAAAAAAAACAACTGTATCCACTAAAAAAAAAAAAAAACTGTATCCACTAAAAAAAACAACTGTATCCACTAAAACGACTGTATCCACTAAAACGACTGTATCCACTAAAACGACTGTATCCACTAAAACAACTGTATCCACTAAAAAAAAAAACAACTGTATCCACTAAAAAAAATCAACTGTATCCACTAAAAAAACGACTGTATCCGCTAAAATGACTGTATCCGCTAAGAAAACGACTGTATCCGCTACAAAAACGACTGTATCCGCTAAAAAAAAAAAAACGACTGTATCCGCAAAAAAACCGACTGTATCCGCTAAAAAAACGACTGTATCCGCTAAAACGACTGTATCCGCTAAAACGACTGTATCCGCTAAAACGACTGNCGCTAAAAAAACGACTGTATCCGCTAAAACGACTGTATCCGCTAAAACGACTGTATCCGCTAAAACGACTGTATCCGCTAAAAAAACGACTGTATCCGCTAAAAAAACCGACTGTATCCGCTAAAAAAACGACTGTATCCGCAAAAAAACCGACTGTATCCACTAAAAAAACGACTGTATCCGCTAAAACGACTGTATCCGCTAAAACGACTGTATCCGCTAAAAAAAGACTGTATCCGCTAAAAAAACGACTGTATCCGCTAAAAAAACCGACTGTATCCGCTAAAAAAAACGACTGTATCCGCAAAAAAACCGACTGTATCCACTAAAAAAACGACTGTATCCGCTAAAACGACTGTATCCGCTAAAAAAAGACTGTATCCGCTAAAAAAGACTGTATCCGCTAAAAAAACCGACTGTATCCGCTAAAAAAACCGACTGTATCCGCTAAAAAAACCGACTGTATCCACTAAAAAAACGACTGTATCCGCTAAAAAAACCCGACTATCCGCTAAAAAAGACGACTGTATCCACTAAAAAGACGACTGTATCCACTAAAAAGATGACTGTATCCACTAAAAAAATGACTGTATCCACTAAAAAATGACTGTATCCACTAAAAAAAGACTATCCACTAAAAA